CATATGCTGTTCATAGGGGACGTATTGTATTAGCCCTACAGTTACAGCATGAAATATTATTTAAACCATAACATTTATTTATTTTATCTCACAATTCTGACTTTTTTTTTCGCAAATGCCAGTTTATATCTCCTAATTCGGACTTTATAACTCGACTTAACTCAAAAATAGTGAGTTTGTCAAATCTGAGGGAAAATGTAGAGAAACACTCCCCTCCCCCTGCAAAGGATGCAGCTCTGCACATACAGTACACACATACTCCACTGCAATTCATACAAACACATTTAATGCGTCAACACCACTTGTAAGAACTAGTTGACATTGTAAACACATGTTTAGACCACTACACAGGTGAATCATGAGCAGTGTCTGACAGTATAGAGCCAGATTCAAGTGATAAAGTGATTGTCATCTTGAAGACAAACAAACACCCAGAGCACTAGGCTTGATTTTAATTCTATGCAAAAATGTCACAATGAAAACAATCAGCCTCCCCGACATCTATATGCATTAGCCAGGACATCTGCTTTGGTGACACACATAAGACATGGGAAGTGAGTATGTCACATACATTAAATATGCATAAACACATACTCAGATGTCCTCAAATACAAAGAAGCTTTCATTAAAGGAACCCAATGCCGTCTTCTCTAAACTCAAAAATGGAGAACTAAAAAAAGAACAGAGGAGAGGATGGAAATAAAAAGAAACGAAAATGGACAGGCAAGGATAATAAAACCTCATTATTGACAGGCAAAGCAGAGGTCTCACATGGCCAGTAAGAGATGAGAGGGGAATGGGGTGAAATCTGGAAAAAGATTGAAAGGTACAGAGAGAGAGAGAGAAAGAGAGAGAGAGAGAGAGAGACATATGAAGCCACACCTAAATGTAGGTCACACACGGTGAGGCGATGAAGCCGATAAGATCTGACTGATTAAGACAGTGAAAAACAGAAGAACAAGGGAGAATAAAGAATCCTGTAAGATAGAAAACGATGTATGAAAAATTAGTCTGATACATTTTCTATATTAAAAAAAAAAAATTAGTGATGCTGGTCTAAAAATATTCGCTGCTATGATGCTATAAGGTTGCCAAGTTGTTCTGAGTGTTTTTAGTGGGTTGCTATGAGGTTGATAAGGTGTTCTGAGTTTTTTAGTGGGTTGCTATGAGGTTGCTAAGGTGTTCTGGTCCACTCAAATCTCTACGATAGTCTTATCAAGCTTCACTGAAAAGCATAACTGCATAACAAAAGATCAAAATGATCTCAAACGGAACTTGGCCATATAAAAACACTTCTAGGCATGGAAGAATGAGCACTCCTTTAAGCGGGCTACCTGCTGTCAAAATCTCTTTTGAGCGAGAAGCCAAGTCTCTTTTCAAATCCCACCCAGAGCAGATTGCTGTGGATTAGGGGCCCTGCATGAGAGTATGCATTCTTGCTGTCTTCATTCCAGATGATCTGATATTTCATAAACATATAGGTCATGCTCACCGGGCTGGAGGGAATGTAGCATGCAAACCACAAAATCTAGTGAGTAATGAGTCTATTTAGGAGCACATCTTGGAGAAGCATTCTGCAGGTTAGATAATGCTGATTCAGAACTGGCAGGTTTGCTTGGCTGCTAACACAGGTAGTGAAACCCCTTGTTGTCCACTAACTGCCCAACTCAGGATTTATTTTGCTTACCTGCACTGATGCAAGCAGCCCCAGTCTAGTCTATAACTGTGTGCATATGAAAACACTCACACGCACACGCGCACACACGCACACGCACACGCACACACACACACACACACACACACACACACACACACACGCGCGCGCGCGCCC